CGTAAAAGACCAGAAGGGACCAAAGCAATTCTGCTCTGAGAAGTAGTTAAAGATGAGAAGAACAGAGCATTTGAGAGGTCAACAGCCAGGACGTTTGTATGGAAAGTTGAGAGGGTTCTTGCCTTCATCTTATTTTTGTGAAAGATTTTTTTCTGGGGAAATGTTCATAAATTTCCAAGAAAAGGAGAAAGTACATATTTCAGTATAATTACTGAAAAGCTGGGTATGTAGGGGGAAATGTAGATATGGGATAGTTTTTATCATGCAACATGGGAAAGTATGAACTGCTGCTGCCACTGTAGATGGTGGCACCAGTCATGTTTTGGGGTCAAGGAGGATTTTCAGAGGGAGTTAACGAATTGTGGATAGCTGGCATAGGACATTACTGGGAGGGAGAAGACCTTTACTCTCAGTGCAGATTTGACAACGAATCCACTAATGCAATATTGGGGATTCCCCAGTTGCTCCAAGAACCTCCTCATTAGGAATAGAGAGGACAAAAGTGTACTTTTGTGTACCTGCTCTCTGGAAGCAACAGGAGAAAAGGAGACTAAGTCCCTGGATGAGGGATTTAATGAGTATCTAGGTTTGAGCTCTGGCCTGATAAAAACACAATAATTCCTCCTTGACATGTGGCCCAAGCAGGTCTACAGTGACCTGTACTGGCTGTCACTGGCTGTTCATATATCAGTATTTTCCATTAGCATCCTCCCTCTGCTCATCCAGCTGCCCTGCAGCTCCACTGGGGAGCCCTGGGGGTGGACTTCCTGCAGTTCTGAAGAGAGGAGCAAAAGCCACAGTGACCTCAAATGAATGGAGGATTAAGTACTCAGTAAATTAAACTTCCTGCCAAGGAGCACCTCGGTGGCTGTGAACCCCAGAGTGGTGCACAGAGGTAGGTCCTAGTGGAAAGGCAAACACAATTTCACAACAAGCAGTGTACAGCTGCATTTTTTTCACTTCCAGGAAATAAGCAGTCATAGAATCATAGAACAATTCAGGTTGGAAAAGACGCTTGGGATCATTGAATCCAACCATTAACCCTACACTACAAGTTCACCCCTAAACCATATCACCCAGCACCACATCTAAGTGACACTTGAACACATCCAGGGATGGCGACTCAACTACCTCCCTAGGCAGTCTGTTCCAGTGTCTGACCACTCTTTCTGTGAATAATTTCTTCCTAATGTCCAGCCTAAACTTGCCTTGTTGCAACTTGCAACCATTCCCCCTGGTTCTGTCCCTAACTACCTGTGAGAAGAGACCAGCACCAACCCCTCTACAATGTCCTTTCAAGTAATTGTAGAGCATGTTGAGATCCCCCCTCAGCCTCCTCTTCGTCAAACTGAACAGACCCAGCTCCCTCAGTCGCTCCTCATAAGGTCTGTTCTCCAGGCCCTTCACCAGCTTTGTTGCCCTCCTCTGCACTCGCTCCAACACTTCAATATCTCTCTTGTACTGAGATGACCAAAACAGTCCTTGCGATAGCACTTTTTCCCTGTTAAGATTGCATCTACCTTTTGCCAACACCTAGTTTGGGTAGAAGACTTGCAACGTAAAATGTGAAACCTTGAAATGTAGTCAAGGAAATCTGGCAGAGTGAATGGATTCTTTTCACTTTAGTCCATGCTCCTTAGTGCCTCAAATACTACATGGAGAAATGTCCCTCCCTCATTTCACAAGAGAAACTAATATTTGTGGAGCCCTTGAATACTTCAGTGAAGAACACTGTGGAAAGTCCTAAAGCAAACAAATGGACCTTTCCAGAGCAAGGTTTTAAGAGTGTAAATAATAACTAGATCATGCCCCAAACAGCTACCATTATTTGCAAGTTGTGACAATTTCTTGCTCTTAACATTTATGACAGAGGCAGAGCAAGAGATGGAGGTTCAGATCAATAAGTTTGCAAAAGGTGAAACTAAGCAGACAGTAGGTTCAAAACCACAGAAGAAATACCTATTCGTAACTCAGAAGAATTAGTCTTCATGTTTTCACTCTGAAGTACAGCCTGGTATAGGATATCCTGGGTTAATCTGTGCTTAACAATTTTTTCCCTTCTAGTCATCTGCTTCAGAGAGAGACTCCACAGTAACTCATCAGCAAAGTTACTGATAATGCATGATTTATCTCCTAGTTAGTCAAGAGCCTCCGACTTGATATGAGTCCAGATCCCCAAGCAAAGACATTGAGTCCAGGACATTGCAATTTAAACCATTTTGTGATGAAAGAGAACTGAAGCAGTGTCAGGATCAGGGCTGCATCCCAGGTTAGCCGTTCACTGGTCAGTGGTGAGGGCTTTGGGACCTTGGTTTGAAGGCTGCTAACTGAAGGCCAAAGCTTTTAAGGTGCTGGAAGATCAAGTACAGCAAAGTCCTTTAGCACTTGATGAAGTTAAAGAATATAAATGAAGTTCTGAAGGCTAATGCTCTGCTTAAAGACTTTGCTGGATCAATACACCTTGCAAAATCAGTTCCAGAGGTGGATGGCTAAGTGTAGCTGACAGGATCTGTTTCACAGTAAATTCTCTGGATCAGCATGGCTGCCTATGAGAAGTTCTTGAGAGAAAGAAGATTGCTTGAGTTGTCCCATCAGTGCAAAAGTTCAGTGTGGTGGCCAGTAGTAATTGCCCATGGTAATTCCCAAAGACCATCAGGTATTTCTGTCCCGCTCCAGAGTGGAAGGTGAACTGTAATTCCACACGTGGGTTTCCTGTAAGAACGTGATCTTTCTCCCATGAATTCATCTTAGGGCGGTGGCCTCATAGACTGTAAAAATATGCAGTATAGTAGAGATCATCACATTGCCTGGCTCTGGCGTAGGCCAGGTTGCAGTCTGCTCTGGTGGTGCTCAGAGTGGTGGCTAAAGTATTTTCAATCAACATCCGAATCACCTTAAGAGATACAAAATTTTGATATAAGAAGAATATATTTACATACATTAAAGACTTATAGAAATTTTTATGTAGAATTCATGCTCTGGCCTTTCTTTTCATCCTCTCCTTTACCTATGTTCAAGATCTGCTAATAAAGTCTTTCTAAAAAAATAATTGTATTTTGAATGCCAAGTGGCGGGGAGTGGTTTGCCTTCATGATGCTGTTTGATCTACATCGCCACATAGAATATGCTGTGGCTCTTGGCAGTTTGACCCCACCAAGGGAACCTCTTGGTTTACTGGAGAAGGAAGCCTGGATATGCACTGACTGTGTGTACACAGTATATACAGCCAAGGGAGTAGTACCCTGACACAGGGCAGGGGGATGGATCATTTTGGACATATCAGATATACTAAAATGCTCATGTTCAGGGGACTAAAGAGCCCTGAGGCAATGACTAAGGCTAATCCTGAGTCCTTTTCCCAATGCATTTTCAGAATAAGTTGTTAGAGCTTTCATATACGAAGGTGATCTTTAGTTGAACACATAATCATAGATTTGCAGTGGGTGTAAATCAACATTTGGTCTCCTCCTGCCAGTGAATTTGCGTTACAAGAGGTTCTGTCTCTTTGATATTTTTGTTAATTAGCAATTTGAATCAATGGTAAAAATTGTCAAAACCTGGATCCAATTGCAGAAACATATATTGAGCCATGTTCCACAGGAGACTATTCTGGGTCTGGAGTTAATCAATATTTTTCTTAATTACTTCCATGGTAGAATAGAAGGTTTGCTTATTGAATTTATAGAAAGCACCAACCAGAAAGATGCCGAATACACTAGAGGATGGGGTTAGAATTCAAAGTAAGCATAGGTGCAAAGCATTACACCGAGATAAGAATAACCACCTTCAGAGAGAGGTGAGAGAGGGTGACTGGTGAGCCCAGCTGGGTACAGTCCAAAAGAGATAATCAAAAATGATGAGAGGTCTAGAAAACAGCATAAGCAGGATTAAACCTTCAGAAAGAGTCAACTGTCAGAGCCAAATGAGACAATGCCTTGGTTTCTGTTGTCATCTGATGGTGTCCTCTACTTTGTGTGGAAATGGACTGAGCTGTCTGCTATGGCCTTATCTGCAGGTCCCAGCTGTTCTCTTTGCAGCTTCCATCCATCTCCTTCCAGCACACCTGGGCTGCAGCCAAACAGCACTTTTTGCCATCACTGTCTACACTTGTACAATCCTGCCTGGGCAGATATGTTTACTTTTTTAGCTGATTTTCTCTGTTCTTATTTGTGAACCTCCTTTC